CAGATCTCATCAAGTTTATGTCTACATGAAAAACCTCTTGAAAAAGCAAATTCCATAGTTTTGTAGCAATTTTAAATGCATCAAAGATAAAAAATAAATGTGTGATGTGTACTATAAGATGCTCGTTTTTATTCTCAAAAAAACTTGCCCTCGTATACTAGTACGTCTCCTAAAGTTTCTCCAAATTATTGTTGGCGCACTCAAAAAAATTGTGTGTCGGCCATACTTTTTGAATTCTAGTAGACAAATAGAAATATTTTGTAAGAATGAGAATTAAAATATAATATTTTATATTCTTTTAGGCTAATGTCTCATCGGATTCATCAGCTAGAATTTATCGTTCAAACAATTTTCCATCGATTAACTTAAATCTAAATGATAATATTGGTTCATGTACAATAACATCTAGAACATCACCGTCACATTTTTTTTTATTCAATTAAAAAAAAAAATAGTAATTTTGAACAAATCTATAATAATGTTAATGAAATATATCTTGAACGTCTATCATGTGATCCTATGGCATGTTTAAAAAATTTTTCACTCAATCCATTATATATGGCATAAAATAATCGTGATCAACGTTTTTAATCCTATACAAATTATAAATCATGATCGTGAACGTAAAACATTACTTGTACTTTGTTTTGATTTTGGTGAATATAAAACAATACAAGAATTATCTATATATGAACTTATACCTAAATATCAAATCTATCCACTACAAACTATTAAATGTTCATCATTAGCTTTAATTCATTCTATTAATGATGATTAGTCATGTGAAATTATTAATTTAATGAATCGTTTTTTTGTTGGAAAAGGTTTTAATATATTTCGATTATTTTATTCATTAAATACATCCATACAAGCTACAAAGTAAAACAAAAAACTAATTTCTTTTTGAAAAAAAATTTTTTTTTTCTTGTTTTAAAGACTTGATGATCCATCATTACTCATTTATATTATATGATACGAATACAACAATTAATTCAATTAATGAACGATTAATTGAAAAAAAAATTTGCAATATCTGATCTAAATTATATAGAATATATGCATATTGCTAATGATTCAATGAATAATTTAAATGGTTATAAAAATCATTGTATTAGATAATATGTGGAATCTCAAAGAAATTATACACAACAACAAACTGATAAAACACAAGCAACATTATTAGTTTTTATTACAAAAAAAATCCAGTTGTTGTTAGTTATGAACAATCACAAAACAAACAAATCAATAATACAATTACTAGTTCAACGAATGTTGAACGCACTTCCTCTACTTGATACTTGAAGATGAAGGTTAATAAATAAATAGAATTACCTTCCTTCCCCATCATTCCATTCTAAAATCGGACTATTGCTTAGACAGAATAGTATCCGATATTTTTGTGAAAGAAGAAGAGTTTCTTTTCGCAATGGTGAATCAGTTTTTCTGTTTCTTGTCATAGAAAAGTTAAGGCTTGAAAAACCGACTCTGAATGAACTATATTTTTATCATATTGAGTTGAAAGTTTTATGTGATTTTTACTGAAATTGTTTTTTTTTTTGTTCATGTGGTGAGAGCTAATTAGATTGTAAATCTTTTTCTTTTGTTTTGCTTGACATAAAAAATTTACCATATTGTTCATCTGTTATCGAACCGTAACGACGATATTGGTATGTTGTTGAAGTAAAACACATGTGAAATCAGTGAATGAATTTTATTTTTGATATCTATTTGGTATTGATACTACACTTGGTCAATGCAATGAACCTATGTATTTTTATATTAATTGAATATATTTTTTGAATATTAGAAAGGCGAAACCTTTAGACTTTGAAAAAGATAATCGATTTTGTTATTGTTGCAAAAATATCTATTTTTGAGTTTTTCTCGTAAAAGTAATAATTATGAGAAATAGGAAAAAAAATTTTAGTGACTAAAATTATTTTCTATCAAAGCAATTACTTTAAAATTTTATTCAGAAGACTATCTGTAAAACCAAGACCTTTGAAAATCAGCTTTCTCATTTTGAAAATAACTCCATTTAATAAATCAAATATTTCTGAATAAAATAAGTCATCGTCAATTTATCCGTAATCTATTTTCATCGAACTGTACTTATTCTACTATAGGTTTCATAGCATACATCACAGTCAATTTTATGAAATTTTCATAAAAACAATAGAAAACTTCGTCTTCATGCATCTTGTAGAATGAGTGCAATTCTATAAATATAGGCCATGGAAATGTCTGTGACGACTGATTTAGTTCAGAAATGCTTGTTTCATAAGATAAAATTCATTGCAAAACGTTTCTTAACGAATCTTATATAATATTAGTATTTGGATGAAGGAATATCGGTTTTTTTTCATCTTCTAGCTGCTCTTTATCATCCAGAAGAAATCGAACCAAATCAAATGTTTAATGATCTTCATCGAAATATGGCGTAAATATTTTTTCTTTTATTTTCCTCTTAAGAATAAAATTTTATTGTTTTTTTTTTCTTTTTCAAGAGATTTATATTCAACTGAACAACATCAACGTATATCAACAGCTGCTACATATTGTCGTGATCAAATGGTTGCTGTTCATTATCAATCATATTGGTATCATGCACATGTATTAGAATTTAAGTCAACAACAAATTTTGCATGGGTTTATTATTTCAAATAAAATAAAAATTCTTTTAGTTATATATTTGTTTTTATTTAAGGTTCAATTTGTTGATCAAAATGAAATATGTGAATTAGGCACAAATACAATGCGACCATTACACAGACAATTTCTTAATTTACTATTACAAGCATATTTATATTGTTTAGATAATTTTGATGTAAATTATCTATGGTCAGCACAAGATAAAAATGTATTTAAGAAGAAAATACGTAATAAAATTTTATATGCAAAAAAGACTCATGGTAATATAAAGTCTTTTTTTTTTTTGTAAAACAATGATTTTTTTTTGTTTTATTTATAAGCGAATTTAATTCAATTAGCTAAATTTGTTGATTGTAAACTTGTTTCATTTGATTTATTTTCGAAAATATTACATTATTTATATAAATCATCTCAACAAACAAAACCAATTCAATTAGCATCATTAAATCATAATAATTTACCTTCAACAGTAACAAATCTTCATTATTCTCAACAATCAAATATTGTTTCACTAAAAGCCTTTTTACTAATGTCAAATAATCAACTATTTATTCGTAATCTTCAATCAATATTACTTGGTATTGTTAATAATGGAAGTAATCCAGAATATAATCAAACATCATTAATGATACCGAAGTCATCGAACTCACCCAACTGATAGTTATTCGAACAAAAAGCATTTTCGTCAACAACAATAATATATTTGTTAATCATACTGTGATCAAGTTGTTTCTTTTTTTGTCTTTTGTGTAGAGAATGAAATAAAAACAGTCTACTCAGAAAAAATTCTATGCATGTCTGTTTCTACTAACTTTTGTTACCGGTTTTTTTTTCTTCTATGTTTGGTATGATATCGTTTTTCTTGTTCGAATTAGTTTTTAGGTATGAACCAGAAAAAATAAATGTGAAAGATTTTGCAGGTTATTGATTAATTTTTCATCAAGGACAATCGGAGCTTATGTAGAAGTCTAAATTAGATAATTTTCTATAATTGACTCCATTTTGAGTAATATTTTATTTAGACTAGGAATAGGTTAAGAACGAGAATTTGCAGTACATGAGACATAACTAGATGGACGCTAGAAAGCCTCAGTTCTCTCTTCCAAAAGATTTTGAACGTTTCTTCTGACAAGTGATAGAGCTCCGCTTGAAAATGTGCTTGAGAAGCTTAATAGAAACTCTTCACC